GCATAACTTTACATGTCGAACCAATGTAGTGCATGCGATGAACGTCCACACGCAGCATAAATTTGCACATGAACACCATATTTTAGAGACGTTTTCCTCTCACCACCTACATAACATAGATCTATCATCTGTTTTACCGCGTACCTAGAGCTTCTCCTTATCACACTGGTTGCTTGAAGCTCGCAAGCCTCGTCACATCACGCTGAGGCCTTTCAGCGCCCATTTTGGCACTGCTAATTGGAGAGCCGATACGATCGTCAGGTCCGCTCGAGTTGGCGAAAAACCGTCCAGCTCTTGACCGCCCCTGACCACAATCCACGTACAAAAACACTCTACTGGGGGCCAATGAACCTCGCTCGATCCCTCATATAGGTACATAGTGGCGACTGCTTAGGAACTAGCTACTGCAAGGGCGATGGTGACTGAAAAAGTAATATGACATGAAACGCCAATGGATCGCGAAACATCAATTGGCTTTTTAGATAGAGAGCTGCCAACATTTATTGGAAGCGTAACAGTCAGCTTTGCGCCAGGACTATAATGTGTCAGCTTAAGGCAGTCTTCTTCCTGTAGCTTTAAGGCAAGCTAAATATCGAATGCAATCGGAAATTCAATTAAGTTTGATAAATCAGCTTATGTGAAGCAAAGTATTCAATGACAGTGGCGGATCCAGGGAGGGGGGGGCAAAATGGTCATTTGCCTCTCCCAAACGGCATAATTTTAACATTACGCCTATGGACGAGGCATGGAAAGAATCGATAAATTGTTATGGTTTGCCCCCCCCCCAAAAAAACTCTGAGCTGGATCCGCCTCTGTTCAATGATGCGATATTTTGCATCAGTCACAAGCAACGGTTAAAAGATATCACTACACATCGCTCTATTCTGCATCCATAAATATGCCAATTGTCTTCAATTGATGCAACAGATAAAACAAAGGTAAATAAGCCCGTCGCTCGTGCAGAGAGTGAGGAATGAGCCAGTCATTGACGCGCGCCGGGCGCCCGCTCCGCCGGCGGCTGCAGCGGGAAAAGGTGACGAGTCATCCGCACGGGTAGCTGATCGGGGAGGATGATTATTGCTACTTCACGGATGGATGGACACCGGCATTGCCTGACAAGGTCGTCGGAGTCTCCCGGGCTGTATCTACGAAGGCAAGAGCTGACAACAGGCAAGTCGAGGTAACTGTCTAATCAAGAGCTGTCCTGTCTCATCGCCTTCAGAGGTAGATTTAGGGAAAATGGTTGATGACAAGTGTAATTCAGTAGATGCATGAATACAATGTGAAGGACAAACACGCATCCACATTAAATCGTATACACTTCCTGTGCCGGCGGGCTTAGGAGTTAGGACGACACACTGAAAAACCAGCCAGAAGCCCGCCAGCAAAAAGGCTCGCCCCTTGTGATGCGTTGAAATCACTGAACAGAAGCTGCGTCGTGTTACTAGGCGTGATGGATTACGATTGCTGCTTCCTCTTCTGATGCTTAATGACGCTATGTCCAACAGAAACGAACAAGATCATATGACAAAACCTCTACCTTCTACGTCCCACACGCCAAAATGTTCCAGTCATATTAGCCGTTTTCACGACTGGCGATCCGGCGAGTGCACCTAATTTGACCAAATCTGCACCTAATCTCTTTTACAGCAAATATTTTTATTTTTTGAGTCTATTTCAGTGTTTTAACCCTCGCCCATGTAGGGGGGGGGGTTGGTGCAACCCCCCCCCCTGAGGCTTTTCGGAAATAGTGCAAAAACGGCGGCGCGCAGCGCCGCCAAATTTTGGGTACTATTGCTTCCAAATTAAGCTTGATTCGCGTATGGCTCTAGTACTGCATTGAATACCCTCCCGAGCCCCTCCCGTATCGCCAGGGTAGGCGGTAGCTGTCCCGTTGAGGTGCGTGTCAGACTGAAGCAGTGCGTGGACCTTGTGACTGTCAGTCCCCGCCTGGGGCGGGGACACGGGTGTGACCTGTTATAATGGCGGGCACGTGAGCGTGACGCATAGCTGGGTCACATTCTATCCAATCAGGGACGATGAGAGCGCCACAGTGCAGTGGTCAGGCCGATGACCGGGTGGGGAGCGCTTGTTGGGCTTGTTGCGGGCTAGAAAGTATTGGGCACGCTTGGTAACTTGTGTGCTACACGGACTTACGCTAAGACCTTTCACATTTTTTTTTTTTGAAGCGAGGAATCAATTTATGTTTTAGCCGTCACTGGCCGAGGAGAGTGCCTTCCTCGACATTTTTCCCCAATTGCACGAAGCATGCAGACAATAGTTTTTCAGATTTTCGAGCTCTTTCGAATGCCGCTTACCATGTGTTGCACACGTGGCCCAGGAGCCGAGTTAGTGTGTGGGGGGAAGGGGGGATGCCACGCGGTGCCTTATTAAACGCAATATTAAACTAGCGCAGTCAAAGCACCCCGCAGTAGAGCAAAAAAAAAAAAAATTATCAGACACCGTCCTTGCCCGGGCCGGGGTCGGATCACTGCCATCGCATCACAGCGACCTGTTTCAAACGCTGGTCTCGCCCGCTGGCTACATGTGCCCTTGACCTTTGACCTACGATGCGGGCCCTGGCTGAATTCCGTTCCGATCGCGCGTCCCGCTGCACCACGGTTGCGGCCGCGCGGCCCGTCTCTCGCCGGGCACTGCGCCCGAGCCCCGGGTAATGCCTCTGACGCCAGAAGCGCCCGAGGCCAAAATCGCTGATCGCTGACCGACCACAGGTCACGTCCGCACCCCTACCCGCGCGTTTGAAACTCCCGGATGTCACAAGGCCCCGGATGTTAAACCTCTGGCCTACCGTGCACGGCTCGCCGAGCCGGGTATCTCGGTAAAACTCGGACTTCGGTAGGGTATTCACTACAGTACTGGAGCGAAGTGAAGATCAAGCTTAATTTGGAAGCAATAATACCTTATGGGGCAAGCCTTGCGCATCTTTTGATAAAAAATATTTGACCGGGTCATGCCAGGTCACGGAGTTATGACGTCACAAAGGGAACAGCCTCCGGCCGGATTTTCACAAACTGAGTGCCAACGCCCGAGGTTTCCTGCCGGTGGTACGGACATCGGTTGATGGATCGTGATGAAACTTCCCATGCATGTTGGGGCAAGTATTGGCTATCATATGGTATAAGAAACTTGACCGGGTCAGGTCAGGTCACGGAGCTATGACGTCACAAGAGGAACAGCGTCCGGTACTATTTTTGAAAAGCGCCCGAACCACTATTTTGCTAATTCTTGTCACCTCAATGGGAATATGCAGCAATATTAGCTTCTATAGGGAGCAAATGGAACTCCCAAATCCAAAAATACAATCAGATTTCAAAAATTTAAATTTTGATTTTTCGAATTTCTGCCGCCGACTGTGACCTTGCCGACTTCCGGCGCTCCCAACGCGCCATTTTTAGAGCTAGGGAAACGAAATACATACCAAACGATAGAGAATTAATCAAGGAACACGATAGTGAAGGTTTCAAGTCGATATCTCCCACCGTTTTGCCGCAATCGCCGCGGAAAGTTGAAAAAGTCTATTTTTTTCCGAAAATTTGACCTTTGACCGGTCAAAAGTAGGTCAAATGTTGACCTAGGACCAAAAAATATACCACCAATCGCGAGATCTCGGCGAGAGCAATCCGTTGGTCTTTTCCGCTAAGCTCTACGACGCTCCGTTTTCAAACGCCAAGGGGGGGGGTCGCACCAACCCCCCCCCCCTGCATGGGCGAAGGTGGCAGATCGCCGTTTACGGGCGAGGGTTAATCGATGATGCTCTCTGATAATACGACAAAGCAGGCATGTAAGCAATTAGTGTTACCCTAGCTGATAGCTACTAAGAGATACCCTGAACCTAATTTGACCAAATCTGCACCTGATCTGCACCAGATGTGCACCAAATGTGTACCAGATGGCCGTCGTGAAAACGTACCAATACCATGTAGACTTTCACAACCTGCCCGTTATTGAATAAACGTTTAGGTATGTAATCTAAAAACACTAGTGAAACGAGCCATCAAGTCTCATTAAAGCCTCTTTTCAAAGAAAAACAGGAAAATCAGCTGCTGGTTGCGCCAGTTTCAGAGCCCAATACTGTTCTTCCTGCAAAAGTGGAGCACATGTCGTTTTATCAGGAGCGAGCGTACGCATTCTCAGCCTTAAATTTTGTCTGCAGTGAATATCTGACTACACACAGTGCATTTTTACGTTAAAGCAAAAATAACCATCAAGTTTCCGTAAAAAGCCTCTTGTATAAAACAAAACACTCATTACAAGATGTACTCTGCACGATACTGGTTGCTTTGGAGAAATGAAGCACATTGGCGTGTAACCTGCGCTCTGACCCGAAGGGCGGCCGGGAAAAATGTGTGACGGCTATGCCAGTGTTGGGAGTTTACTTATCCACACTTTTATTGTCCTATGAGTCAGCCAAACCTTTCAAGCATAAAGAAAAGGCGATATAGGTATGCTATAAAACTCCGTGCTCATTGAGCTTCTTGAATTAAGTAAAAATGCACATGTTTGCAGGCACATGTCAATGTCAATCTTAATGCTTATCCCCATAAAGTCGTTAAGTGCTAAGAACTAACTAGCTAGTTGGTTTAATTATGCAGCTGTCTGACACTCAGTGAACACTGTTAGCCGGGGATGTCTGGTTCCCGAGGATGCTGTGTCTCTCCATGTGCTGCCCCCGCTGTTTCCCCGGCCGGGCGGGCCAGGTCAATAGCTCATTGTTTCCGCGGCGCGATCCATCAGCTCTCGGTGACGTGGTCTCACGTGTGACCCGTTAGATGGGGTAGCATCGGTAACTGGTCTGCTAGTGGACGGTTCAGTTAGATTTGCGATTTAAAACGTCTGAAGTTTTTATACATCAGTCGTTTTTTAAGAACCGTTTCCTAATTTTATATCAGCTTGAACGTCTGCGTAAAATTGAATGCGTTCCGCCTTGAAAAGGCCTGGGGGAGCTCCATAGACTTATATTAGAGAGCCTAGGAACGCAATTGCACAATATTCAGCATTTCTATGATATTCTATCATAGCACTATTGAAGTCGTAAGAGCAGTTATTCTATCATAGCACTATTGAAGTCGTAAGAGCAGTATGCCATAGTAACATCAAGCTGAGATTCGCTATGCCGGCAAAGTGCTAGTAATTCAATGGACCTTGTATACCTTATCCTATACACAGCGACAAAATCATATTACGAGCAGTACATATCAATGTTCAACAGCAACACGAGAGCCACAAGGAAACGCCAGCCGGTTCGTGGTCGCACGTTGGGGCTGAATTAACTCCAACTTTATCGCCCACAACCAGGCGAGGAGCGGTTCTGGATGTCCGCTCAAAGCTGCCAATTAAATAGACACCCATTGGTGGACCATATAACTACTACAGATGCTGAACGAGGTATGATGAGCGAACGGCCGCTACTGGAACGAGGACAAGTGCCTTTCGCTCCCTTCGATCCCTCCCTACCGGAGGGTGACTAGGTGTCTGCCTACGGACCATCATCCTCTGCTGGATCCTAAATCCACCGCGTTAGTACACCATCACCTCACAGAGGATCGCCGTAAACAGCTTACGCCACCGGTTGGGCACGCCGTACGCCTTGATGTAGACGTAGCGCGCCCTCAGTGGCTGCGGACAGGGCACCTGAAGGCGCGGCCGGAACAGGGCGTTGTTGTCCCTGGTGACGTAGTCGCACTTGGTGCTGCTAGCCTCCTCGGCGTTCACGACGTGCTGCTTGTTGCTGACGTAGACGCTCAGTTTGTCCAGGTTGAGAACGTAGTCGCGGTACTGGGTCGACTGGTCTGAGAGCGAAGTCGAGGAGGGCGTTACTTTCGCATCACGCTATGGTGTCCAAGCTTCACATTAAAATTAATTATGATATCATGTGTTGAATAAGATGTTTTGTATTGCACCCTGCATGTGACAATCTTCACAGTTTAAAAGCATTTGTTTATGAACCTTTCGTCCGTCAGTGTTTCTAAATGTCTTTCAACGCGTATGTGCATCAGCTCACCTTCGCCCTTGCCGTCCCAGAGCGCCAGCACGACTCCCTCGATTTCCCGTCTGCGCCCGAGGTCGACCATCCAGACGGGGTTGTCCACGTAATAGTTGTCCAGGATGGCGCACTTGTTGAGGTGGTGGCTCTCGTCGCCGTCCACGGCCAGCTTGGAGTTGCCGTACGTCCAGTCCTTCCAGCTCTGCCGCTTGTCGTTCACCCAAGTCGGACGCTGGTACGCCAGGTTCTCCACTGCGTGAACACAGACCGATTTGATACTTCGACGATATAGGAAGGGCACAGTGCATCAGCTGTTTCTCGGCCTTTGAAATGGAAAATAGCGCGGGTGTGTCCACTTCGGAATGCCTTGATCGAGGCCGACACACTGATTCAGGTGCAGTTTGACATTATTGAAGTGACAGGCTACAATCAGAACAAGACGATGCATCTATGAGTATGCTGACATGCTGACCCTATAGGGTCAGCATGACATCAACACAGGCTACCTGGGCATAAACATGCAGCTAATCAGCGTTTTATCACGTCATACTGAATTCATTTCGAATACGCAGCGGCGTCGGCATCAGAACGCAAGGACGTCGCGTGATGATGACGGTCTTTTCTGCGTGTTAGGTCCCTTAGGTCCCGGAAACGACCGAACTACAAAGATGAAAGGTATGGAGCCGCATTGAATGCAGCACACTGATTTCAGCTATGTTTGTGTTATGATATGGTGAAACTGAAACATAACACCGTAGGATATTATGTTTTTACAGTCGATGTGTATATAGTTTATTAGAATGTGATAAGTAATTTAGACACTTGTTTATATTTGTATCGACACCTATGTATAGCGGTTATTTCATACTGCGCCGCAATACACTGCGCTATTGCGGTACAGTATACCTGCTTTCAGCTCGGTTTGCGTCCGAGAACTCCATCCATGATTTATTGTCTCACCGGACAGTCGCGTCCACGCCATACTCATTCCCCAAAATCAGCACTCACTGCAGGGTGATCCCTCGTTGACGCGGATGTATCCGGGCCCGCAGAGGCCGCGGTTCGGACAGCCCAGCACGCCGGCCCGCATGGCGATCTGCTTCCTCCAGTCGACCGGGTGCAGCCGGATGTAGCTGGCCACGAACGGCTGGTTCAGGTAGTGACGACGCTCCGTCGCCGTGTCCATGTTGCCGGCAAACACCTGTCGACGACAGCACACGGGTCAGTTGGACGGTACAGCACACAGACTCAGAGGCCAGTTGGACGCCACAGCACACCGACCCACAGGTTGGCTGAAGGGTCAGAGCACCGACTCACGGGTCAGGTGGCAGCAGGACAGTCCTATGCTGGCAGTCCCGTCTAAAACATGGACGACATTCCCGCTATCCAGAGCTGGTAGATTAATCATGATCGGTTTGCCGGATAGCTGAATACGGTCATGCAACTGACCTTCGGGTCGAGGTGGTTGTCGTCTTTGTAGAAATGCCAGACGACGCTGTTGTTGCTGTAGGATAGGCTGTACTGGGTGACGAAGCGCTTGCGTCTGCCGTCTCCCCTGCCCAGGGTCACGATGCCGGTCACCTTTCTCGGAGGGCCAAAGTCAAACTGCAGCCACTGGTTCCCTGAAATAAGTCAATATTAGAAGTTTAGAAGAACAGTCATCAATATAACGAGCAAGACGATTTTTTCTTTAAAAGTCCATTATACAAAGTCCTATATCAGACACTAATTACTCATGCTGGATTGCAAATCAAGCAGCCGGAAAACAAAAACACAGAAAAAAATGGAAAATTATCAGGTAATGGCACTTTGCAAAGGGTGTCAAAGATCGCTCACTGTTTTTGTGCCTGGAGCACCAGGCTGAGCTGCTGAAGATGACCCCGTCCTCGGGCTGACAGGAGCGCTTCCTTCTCCACCGCGGAGAGCTGGAGGCCGTCACTTTGGCGTGCGGAGGCACGCTGATCAGCTGACGACACTCTGAAACAGGAATAATCAGCTGACGGCACTCTGAAACAGCGGTTAGCATCAGCTGACGACACTCTGAAACGTAATGATCAAACACAGACATGGAACGTAAATAAAGTCATCTGAAAACGTGAAAATAGTGAAATAATCAATACATAACAGTTTTATGCATGGAACCCAGCTGAATTGTAAAACACTAACCTAACCTAAGACATCAGTTACCTACCCTGGCATCCGATGAGCTCGATCCTCAGGCTGGGGTGTCCGTGCCACTCCATCACATGAATCCGAACGAACCGAGCGGTGATTGGCTCATCCAGGTACAGATGACGCAGGGAGTGCGAGTCCGTATTGCCAGTGAATGTCTGAAACGCAGCAGTTTTTGGCAAGCATGAGGCAAAGCTGAAACGGTTGATAAATGGACCATCCACTTCTTTTTTCTAATAAACACACTTGTATCATAACATTAAATAATTGAAACATTGCAATCATACAACATTCCAGCGCAGGTCTCTTCCCACTGACAACCTCAAGCAAGACTATATAATCACCAGCATTACATAACCGTAAAGTTAAAAGCAGCACTCGATAAAATGTATTTCAGCACCTTTTTCTTTCCGTAGATATCGTTGGTGAATTTCCAGGTGTATGCGTCGTCACTGTAGGAGATGACAAACTTGGTGACCCATTGCTTGCCGTCCCCCCGACCTTGGATCATCACACTTGATATCTGATGGCAGAGGATCAGTCAATGTCACACACGCTCCGTGGGTAAGTTCGTTAGGACAGAGCGGATGTCTGCCGCTGACAGGTGTGCCACACGTGCAGTGGTCACTGAAGAATGTCACGCTATGACTGGCATGGTCTCGGAAAGCAAAGGTAATTAATGCACCTTTCCAGAGCAGCAGTGTGTTTGATTTACTCAGAATGCTGATACCCTCTGATATTCCCTATATGCTGCACTTGGTTCTTTTGTCATCAATAATGCTATCCGAATGGATAGTTTTCTTGTGGATAGAATCTCTCGGCTGTCATCAATGTCAGTCTAACGAGCCAGAAATGTAAACGATATCGATGACAATGTAGGGTGAAACTCATTCGTCAAGTTTGGATTGGAACAAAAACAAAGCTCATCTATATTTATGTTACGATTTGCTGGGTGAAGTTTACAAACTGCAGACTAAACAGGGATAATTGAATGTTGACAACATTTTTCCACCGCAAAATAGCAGCAACATTTCTTTTTAAATCAAACTTTAACAAACCCCATGAAAAGGGTGACATCGCCAGCATGTTTAAGTGAATCCCCCGCTGGTCACCCACCGTGGCCTCAACGCCCAGGTCGATGAGCAGCCACTCGGCCTCCCTCTTGTAGCCGGCGCACCAGGCCTTGCCGTTGGGCCCGTGCAGCCGGGCGTACTTGGTGTTGCACTTGGGGTCGGAGGTGAGTGTACTGCTGGCGGCCACCTGCCAGTCCTCGACCTCGCCCGTCATCAGACCCAGCGGCTCCGAGCAGCCTGTCCCGAGCACGGGTCAATGTCAGTGTCAGCGTCACAGAGGTCGGCGACAGGAGATCACGTCGTGGACTTAGAGCAGGAAAACAATCGAATGGGACGAGAGCATCTTATCAGGGAACAACGCATGCCTACGTCTTATGATCGGGAGTGAGAACAGGTGTAGGTACAGTTATATCTTGCTGTCATGGGAGAACTAGCTTATTATAGTTTGTTATTGATTTCCAAATGAAATGGATGAGGAATATTCATTATCTGTATTGTACGCACACAGTAGCTCCCTCATACAAACCAAAGCACTAACTTATCGCTCACTTCGCAGCCTATCTAATGCTAGCGTCCATGGCCAAGCCCACAAAGGAATGTATGGAACGTAGCCATGGCCATCTCGCTCTTACGCTTAGCCCACCACTTTTCACATATACCTCCTGACTGTTGGGTCTTCATCGCCCCGTGATCCAATCCGACACAGGCGATACGGCCGGTCAGAATCGCCGGCGAAATCGCCTATCGGGCAGTCAGTGGATTATCGAGGGCGTCGGCCTGCGCCGCTAAATGCCTGCAGATAAGTCTCGTCACGCGCGCATCCAGTCCGCTTCCATCCCCGGGTCAGCAATCGCCGGGCGGCGCGGGTTCCCAGGGTTCGCAGAGCAGAGCCCAGAGTGACCGATCAGCCCGGCTCCGACCCAGCCCGAGCAGCACGTGGTATGCTCCAATGACGTTGAAAAAGCAGCGCTATTTACCTAATTAATAGCCTAACGAAGTGGAGGACGTCATTAAGCACGTATTTGTATGGCGAAACATTTCCTGTTTCATGCTTTTAAAAATGATTCCGGCGATGAGTGACGAGCTCTCTGCGGTGCAGACGGAGGCGGAGCGCCGCCTTTCACTCTGGCCAGGACCTGTGCAGGATGTGCTGGACACGAGCCAGTCGTGTGACGGCCCAAATCTCGCCGGCAGAGTTTTTGATCGGCCTGTCAGTCGCACCGGGCCAGAAGCGGCGTGATAAGTGGGTATTAGCTTTACCATTCGATTCGCTGGCTTCCAATTCGCTTTGGTAAGAGCTTCAGCGCGCGCGCTTAGACGTTGATGCAACGTTCGCCTTAGTCACAGATTAGCACACCGAAGAGGAAAGTTGCTACAACCCCAGACATAGCAGACTGGAATCCACTTCTGTGGTCGGTTTGTCCTCTCATCTGTAACAGACTAAAAAAAGATTTAGCGCTGCCGTAGAAGAAATTGAAACTCCATCCCAAACAAGTACAAATCCCATGATCATGCAAATTCATTTTGCGTCGCTAGGCAAAAAAAAACAACTCTTGAGCATACAGTTAGTCCCTTTTCTGCGCCAAGCAAGGAATGGTCATTGCCATTATAGATTCTCATTGGAAAATGATTATTTGTCGTTCTGGAATTGGATATATCACCAAAACTAAACTGAATATGTTGTAAAATAGTGATATTGCTACTAAAGTAAACCTATGATCTTAGAGACCTATGTTCTAGACCTATGTTCTATGTAATGCAGTATAGGTATGCATTCAAATTTCACCTCCTTTCCAGCTCATTGAACGCAAACCAAGCCAATTCAGGAAGCCATTCCCATCCCTTTCAGCATCTATCAATCCCGAAATCAAACGCTACCGTTATCCATTAGCGACTTTGTTCCGCAGTCAATCTTATCACGTAATGGTGCAGCCTTGCTACCCCAAGCTGCTCTGCGCTAGTCATCTGTGACGTCATTGAATCTGACCGGTCCAGCCTCGTACTCTCCCACGCTGGGACGTTGAACTCGCCACAGAACAGGAGGGATGACCTGCATATTAAAGGCAGGTAAGTTTGATCACGATTAAAGCTGTATTTGTATTATTTGTATTTGTATCCATTGTACTTCTGTGAAATGCACCTTAACTCGCCTATAGGTAGGTGGGCCACACCAGCCTCAAGTGCAAAACACGTAATATCTCGAAGGTCATTTGACACCAAACTGAAATGGCGCCCGCGTTTGGCCCCATGGCTGAAAGGATGTCCGAGTTTGCTGTGGGGGCGGGCCGCGCAGCAGCGGGCAGGTGGCGGTCTCACCCTCTGTTTGTCGTAGCAGGGCAGCTGCGAGCAGGCTGGTCAGCAGACCGGCGTACACCCGGCGGCGACGTCCCATCGCTGAAACAGGAGACGAGTCGACGTTACCTTCTCCGCGGTCCAGAGGCGAGCGGCGGCAGGTTCGCCTGTTCAGTTAAAATGTGACAGTAACCTAGTTAGCACGGCTTTGTTGGACTAATTCGCAGCTGTAGATGGTAAAGTAGAGCTGACGTCAAGCGCCGGGGCTAATTAAATCCCATCTCCCAGGGAAGCGCCGGGCAGCAATTAATGTTTAAATATTCAGACGCTAAGTGAAGAATGGCTGTGTCTTCACTGGCCTAAAATTTGGATGTAGGTATATGGAAGAGAAAGAAACGGTTGTAATTTTGTTGTACTTTTGGTTAAAATAAATAGCTGTTTTTGCTTAAGGTTTTAAAAGCGCACATGCTTTCTTAAGCGCACTGAAGAGCAGACGAATTGGACCAACAATAGCACAGTTCAGCGAGCGCTGTCGAGCTCGTGGGCTGCAACCACTTCAGAAAATATGATAATGCCTGGGGCGACGCAATAGCCACAGCCATCCGTTTAGCGAGAAGCAGCTAGTTGTGATTCCGCACAGCCGCTGTCTTGGATATTTCGAGCGCGCGATTTCCCCACACCCCAAACAAACACATTCTGGCCAAATGTCGCGCGATTCGGGCGGGGCGTGCTGAGGCGGCTCTGGTCCGATTGGGAGCGGCGCCTGCAGACAGCCGGACGGCCAGCGGCCGCTAACTCGGGTGTTTGTATGCCCGGTAGTCGAGTCCATTTTCATTTTCCTTTCAGCGGGGCGGCGGTATCGGGGCGGCGGATTGCCGAAATGCCGGCCTATCTGGGCGGCGGGCGGCGCCGATTGAAACCGCACCGCCGCGCCGCCGCCGCCCCCGCCGCCGCCCCGGTGCGTGCCCGCTGTAATCGCGCGGCGTCATTGACTGGGCCGACAGGCCGCCATTGTCCCCACACGGTCGTCTGGGAGGCGTTTACTCTATCGGGATCATCAATCTGCGCGGCAGAAAGCTGCGGAAGTCAGCTCCCAATTTGCGATAGTATCTGGTTATTTACTGACTTCAATTGAAGCGGTAAGTGTTGTTCCAAGTCCTCTGTTAAAACTGCCGATCGCAGAGCGTTAACTTGAGCGTGGGCGCCAACTGCTGATCGCCATTCTCGGCTGCGCCTACGCACTCTCTTCCAGCAGTAAACGCTCTTATACGCCGCCACCAGGATGGGTTCTTCGACCGGTATATATGCGATCAGGGATCAGAGTGATCTGCACCCGGCCGGTCACAGCCGCCGTCCACGTAACGGGTGAATTATCAGCAGCCCCCTGCCTTCATCTCCCCTTCCACTCACACTCCCCACTCCTGGTCCTCACACGCAGGTCCCCTGCCCCGGCCGGCTGTAGAGAGGGTAAATACACCTGCGGCGCCATTTGTCCGATCAAATAGAGTGCGTAAGCGTGTGTGCGTGTGCAGCGGAGTAGAGCTGTTCTGTGTCGTCACGGCTCACAGCTCGAGGCATATTTCGCTGATCCTGTCTCGCGGAACTACCGAGCTTCGGCTGGAAAAGTGCAGGGCTTGTCCACAGAGGACCGACAGAGGCCTTTGTAAATGAACAGTTCACCTTTATAGTCCCCATGACAGCGGACCGACCGGACACACGCCGACCACAACCCATCACCTCTCGCCGTCCACAGCGAACGTTCGTAAAAACAGCATTTCCATTTCCATTATCATGCTAATGGTGTCGGTAGCGGCGGTTTAGCCGGCGCCCGGCTCCTTCAGCGCTGTCTCGGGGCAGTGTGACATCTGCTGAGTCAGTCTCCACACAGGGAGCTGCTGCGAGCTGTGACAGCTCGTCAGAGCTCCGAGCGGCCGGTCTCCGGCCCGGGAGAGCTGCGGCGGCGCGCAGCTCGGCCAACTGACCCAATTCAACAGTGACGGGCAGCCAGGACAGCCACTCCGGCTCCTGCAGCACGCAGGAAATGAATACTGATCGTCCCGTGCCGACCACCGTGGATTCAAAGAGTCCCGTTATGAGGACGCATCAAATGGAATTCTCTCGTAGACGTGGTGTTTTCGATCCTTTTCTGCTCAGTGAAGTGAGTGGACGACTACTGTTGTTTTATTTCCGCTTGTCAGTATTACAATTACTGACGAACAGTCGAGCATGTCGGGAGTACAGCAGCTATAGGCACCGTGGGAAACGATCAATATATTACCAGCTAAAACATCGGGAAAGCGTTGTGAATGCCTTTCGTATGCGTTTCGCATAATATTGCATCCAATTTCCACCATGCCGTCCGTCTGACGTCAGTTACGCGCTCTCCGTGGTGACGTCAGCCGGAGGAGTGCAGCGGCTGCATGGTTGTTCCAGCCCGCCCATTGAGAACCTCCAGACGGTCGGTGTTGAGGGAAGGGGAGGGGGCTAGTGAGCTACTCTCAGATCAGGTGGCCCTTTTGTTCGGGCAGGCTGGCCCAGTGACCCTTGTCCAGGGGACCACCCGCTGCGGGCCTCCCCTCCCCCTCCCCGATTTGGGCCTCCCTTCTTCAAGCATTTAGCCCGATACCTTTTCACAACGTTGCCCCTGGACATCCCCGTCTTGAGGAGAGCTGGGAGACAACATTTGCTGACGTTCGTCCCCTGATTTATCATATTTCATCGTCTCACCATCCGTAGTGATCTATTTATTACTACCTTGGATGCAATCCACTTCGATTCAATCCATGGCGACTGTCATACGCTGCGCCTCACGCACGCTGATCCAATTCACGGTCTCTCTCTCACCAGCCTGCTTCAGTCACGGTGGCAGTCCCACGTCAGACGGGAAGAGAAGCTGCTCGACACGACTCCGCAGTAAAAATAGTCGGACTCCTTGTAAAACAGAAATCCAGGGTCTCCACCGTCCATAAAAATCCAGATTATACAGTCCTATCGCGAGCCTCATCTTGTGCGGTCCGACATAACTCACAGACTGTATGTCGCGGGTCCATTCAGCGTGTCTGGGTCCCTGTGACGTGTCCCTGCACTGTTGTCGCACAGTCTGTGGGGTCGGTCGGCTCACAATAAACCGGTCCCATGGCACAACACCCGCTACCGGGGAGACCTCCCGAGAATTTCCCACAGATCGGCTCACCTTCGTAACAAGCAAGGGAACCCAAGGCGTCGGTGAAGAAGGGCCGGATGGTTCATGGTTAATCAGGCGGGACATCCTGAATTTGGCCCGTAGGTCATAACCCTGCGTCTCGCCTTTTGACACGCTTGCCACTGCTCCTTTGGATATCCCCCCCCCCCGCCACTGGAGAAGGGGATCAGCTATAGAGACGCCGATAGTTTTCAGAAGAATATTCCCCCACACCTGAGTCACAAATTCCCCAGTAACCCTCTGGTCTGAACCGCTGAGCCAGGCGTTGGTGGGTTACAAATACCTGACGAGCCACACACACCGCACACGCCGCCGCCTCCTCCGTCATCCCTCTCAGCACACTCTCCAGTCACCCATTGTGGCGCGCGGCGACGGTCGTGACGATCGTGGTGCACAGGCGGCGAGAGTGGCGCATTGAGAGCGAGAGCGGCGCGCCCGGTCCGTCACCGATTAATTGGGCGGCGCGGGTGTTGACGGGTGCCCGGCGGGGGGCTGAGCGTGCGCCGGGGTGCGGGGGAGGGTGCCGTGGAGCTGCGGGGTGCCCTCGCCCGACGTCGGGGAGCTGGAAAGTAAAGGTGTTGTGGTGGGGAAGGGAGCGCATTGGAATGCGACTGGCCGGTGTATAAAAGTTACATCCCATGACTAGCACAGCAACAGTCGAGCGTGGTGTCCGTGGTTTTAAATGGCGGCATGGGCAACTGACCGCTCGGGCCACTTCATTGTTTCAAACGATGGAGGCAAGCGCATAAATTAGGCCTGGTGAAGACGGAGGCAATTGGAGCAAACTGAACCGCTCATGCCGGTGGACCAGCACACCACTGACGAATCTCTTCCGACCCTCCACGTACTTACAATGTCTTTATGGAGCAAAACATTGTTGTTGACAGTTGAGCAGAACAGTTATAACTATAAATTACAAAGAACATGCTTGGTGTCCTTACAGAAAGTACGCAGCTTGAAAAAAGGGCCCGTTGAATATGTAAATTGTCCAGAATCAACAATTATGACAAAGTCCCGGCATGCATCACAAAAAACTGTCCAAACTCATATCATTTTCATGACGGCAGTTCATTCCATGACATTGTTCTACCGTAATCATGTTCTCTTTATTTGCTTCCAGTTCATTCTGTCGCCGTGTGTTTGGTGATGCCGCCGACATCACACGCTACCGACGCAGCCATGCGGTCCTCTGCACGTGTCCCACTGTCCCACGTGTCCCACTGTCCCACGTGTCCCACTGTCCCACGTGTCGACTGTCCCACTGTCCCACGTGTCCCACGTCGACTATCGTGGGCGAGCCACATTCCGCCCATGACGACACCGCGCTGCCGGCTGTCTGATGGTCACTTACACTGCCGACTTTATAGGGCTTATCCTGATCATTTTATGAGTGCCACAATACAGCTTTATCGATGTCCTTCCACCGTATTAAAGGAAAGTTACTACACATTCCAGGCGCGGGGCAGCGTTCGTGCGCTTCCTGAGCTCCTCGCTATGCAGCGGCATTGCCGCACGGCCATAAATTGAATTTTAAGTATGTAAATAGTATAATGAGGGTTATTATTACATAATTTGCGCTACTCGGGACAATTCAGACCCCAGGCCGTGCACCCGCGCAAGCCCATGATTAGGCTCAAGATCTTTGAAATGCATCCTCGGTAAATGCCGGTTGTGTTGTTAGCAAACAATGCCAGGCCAATACACACTGGGGAGTAAGCGATATTTTTGACGGGATGGCAATATTGTTCGGCGTTCAGCCATTATTTATGCCATGCCGCAAACCAGGCACTTTCAGCCGCAGACGGGTGGGATTTTTGAAAACCAGGGATCTATCTCCCCAACATGGTTAGGAAAGGCTAGACATTAGAGTGATGTGATAAGCCAGCTTCCAATGCTGAAGATGCCGTCATACCAAATACACCGGTTCATGGTAGCGTAGCGCTTTGGTGTGCAGCAAAACAAATTTTGCTCCGAAATGCCAGGCTTTCAAATCCCAACCCCACCACATGGTTTGCTAGCCACTGTAAGCTTACACTAATGATAGATATCCACCAATTAACCATTTGCGTGAGTAGCCTACCCCATCAATTCAGCGGTACTAGACGGGACGGGACGGACGGGGACTACCTCCCAGTGATATTGACAGCTGCAGGTGTGCTGAACACCATTCCCTCGACCAGATGTGAGCACGGACTGAGCCGGTAAATCCACTTTCATTAGGGTAGACGTCACGACGCATTAGTGGCTCGGGACGGCTCACGAGCGATGAATTCCGGGCGTGGGGGGACTCCCCCTCTCCTCCGAGACTGACGACGGACAAACTGCCACATCAGTACTGACGTCGTCGGCGTCATTATCAGCGCCTGTTTACAGCCACCGATCCAGACGTAAAATGTTAAACTAATCGATCGGTTCCTTATTCAGGCACAAGTGTTGTTTAACGCTGGCTCTGATGCATCAGAATGTTTATAACAGTAAACAAATCGTCGATAATGACTCATTTTTACACAGGATGTTCTCGAGGCATCAGGTCATCAACGTGACCTCATCGGCTGTCTCATCCGGCGTCACTGCCGCCCCCGCTCCCGCTCCCATCCCCACATTATTCATCACAGCTACAAATAAGGCTCGATAGTGTGCTTCTACATATGGTTGATACGGCTGATTTGAGTGCAGTTCTAGTCAGCGTTGGTAATTTAGACTAGAATGCATAGTGGTCCACGTCAAAATAGACGATACAATCGTTAAATGGGCATTGCACGAGATCCAACGACAAGCTTCCATGCTTACACAAGCATCTGTAAGGAGTGGAGCAGGAAATGACTGGCGTGCCCTTGGTGAGTCGACGATGCTGTCAAAAGGATGATAATAGGCCCATCATGGACATGACGTCACGATGTCTAAACGGTCACCTTCCACGGAGCCACCTTGACTGAAAGTGACGAGCTCCAAAGCTTACCACACTTTATCTGAACACCTTACTGTCTATGCATCTGCATTTGAATTATTATGGCCTATAATCCAGTTTATGACAGTTTATGTAGCGAGATACGAATATGCATGCATTGATGCATGCTTTATTCTGAACCCACCTGAATTATGGAAGCCGACGTTCTTGTACCGAGATAATGCCACCTTTCGCACTTCTTCAGCGGTTAGCGTGAATAGTGCCTGGTTTTGCGGACAGCGCAGGGATGCCTCACGCCACACTATCCTCACAAAGTTGGAATGATGGTTGACAGCTGATGATCAAAAATAAAAATAGTCTTGAACTTGGCACTGCAGTTGCGAGCAAATTGAGCGGTCACTCTCAGGTGTCTGTCGTAATTGAGAAGTTTGTCACCACTGACACCCGCGGCTCGGACCGGTCTGTCGGCCTGACCACCTCCTCTCGCCACTCTGAGCTCCTCCAGTCCGTCCAGCCGGTCACGGAGAGCCGCCCCCGCCGCCGCCAGCCGCCGCCGCCCGCAGTCAACTGCCGCCGCCGCCGCCGGAGCCGCCCCCGCCCCCGCCCCCGCCTGTCCTCTCCCCGGCCCCGCTCCTCTGGCCACCCCGTGCGCACCCCGAGCCCGATCTACAGCGGACGGAGGGCCCAGGAACGCAGATCCAGGTAGCAGGGGACATTCCTGGCAGTTTCTCCAAAATGGAGCGGACGAGAGACGGTCGACTCTTGTCACAACAAGGGAAAGGTGCATAGGAGAGGAGAAGAGAGGGAGGTAGGGAGGGAGGGAGGGAGGGAGGTAGAGAGAGACAGAGAGAGAGAGAGAGAGAGAGAGAGAGAGGGAGAGAGGTAGAGAGAGAGAGAGATAGAGAGGGAGGGAGGTAGAGAGAGAGAGAGAGAGAGAGAGAGAGAGAGAGAGAGAGAGAGAGAGGGAGAGAGAGAGAGAGAGAGAGGGAGAGAGAGAGAGGGAGGGAGACAGAGAGTTGGAGAAAGAGATATAACGGATATATGTGACTCAAAGGGAGGACGGTCCAACATATCGGTTACTTTTTTAGCAACATCGATGTCAGTCATGTCCCAATGATCATACATTTGTTTCATAGGGAACGTCGATCCGCGATTGAGATGAAATACGCATGTGTAAAATGCGCCAACTGCCACAGAAGATCGCATTACATACACAAAACCGACTAAAAATGCTGTTACGCCATTGATAATGATTACTATCGGACGCATATCGCGCGCACATACAATAACATTTAATGCAATAGCATTTACAAGCAATAACTATCACGATATCATTCGTCAGAGCAGTATATCAATATAAGCCCTATTTTTGCGCTCATAGTCTACACGGGTAAATGTTTCTAGAAGCACTCTTGATTTATAGCGGATAAAAGCCATCTCACGACATTACAACACTCAACAACGACCAGAAACGCACTCCATGTCGCGGGACGCGGATTACAGGTCAGCAGCTCAGTTTTCATGAGACGCTGCCTGTACTATAACTCGGGTTTGCAGGTTTCACGGGGCCATGAACGGCGCTGGTCGCACCTTCCCTGCGGGTGGTCTGGCCATCAGCGAAGGACGCCTCTTATTTACAGCGCTGCTGCGGTCGGGCCACCCTGGATAGCTGTGTGACGCTCTCAGGTGTCCCGTGGTCCACAGCGGCAGTCTGAGGCAGTCCGGATCATCACGCAGTGATAGAGCAGTGCATGTAGTCAATTTTGAGATGACTTGGCGGACATTTCATTTCTGAAAAGAGTTTGGAGTAAGCGCCTGGGCCCGACAGGCTTTCTGGAGATGGTTTGAAAGCCATCATCCATGGCATTGCCTTTATGTCATAAGCTCACATGCAATATGCATCGTAAATGACACCACATGCAGCTGTGCTGATCGTCGTTTGTTTAACCCTATTCCTGGCGGGCTCCGCCGGGACAAGAAACTGGCGGGGGGGGGGGGCCGATTCGGCCCCCCCCCTGAGATCTCGAGAACGAAGCAAGATAGTGACAAACGGTAAACGGCATCGGATACGCACGGTCAAGATCTACAATTTTTACAAAGGTCATTTTCAGGTCAGGTCAAAGATGACGTCACAGGGGTCGAAAAAGTCAAAATGGCGGCGCTAGATATGGAGAGAGTTTTTCTCGAATAACTTTCGAATTAGTCAAGATAGGAACAAACTAAGGGCATCATCGTGATCCTCTCGTCAATCCGCATCGAATGATATATATGTTGACCTCGCAAGGTCAAGGTCAAAGGTTGACCTCAGGTCACGTGACCTCGAGGTCATCATGTATATCATTCGATGCGTCTTGACGAGCTGAACACAATGAGACCATCCACGCGTCTGTATCTTGTTCCTGTACGGAGTTATTGGCCAAAAACCTTTGGTGACCTTTGATGACGTCACATGACCTCACAGCTGCCCAACAGCAAAACAGACCTCAAGGTAGTGAAGGTTGATCGTATATGAAGTCATGTATGGTATATGGGGTCATTCCGACCCGTTTTAGTGGTAAAAACAGGGAGTTGATTTTTCCCCCATTGACTTATAATGGGGAGGTCGCGAAACTGACCTGACCTTAGGTCACCGATATCAAAATTCCGAGATATACAAATTGCACATACTGGTACCCTAACTAAAGCCTGAAGAGAAGAAATTGATCGGTCAAAAACTCTAGCTCTGGCGTGATTGCAAACTTTTTTGAGGTAGGGTCACCAAACCGCCTCTGGTGACCTGACCTGAGGTCAGATCAACTCAAAATTTTCAGACATGTTGCGTAGAAGCCTTTTAGGAAAAGTCAGAAAATTTGAGCTTCCTAGCTCAACGCGTTTGGGAGAAATAACCAAAAAACCTCAGGGGGGGGGGGCTCCTGAGGCCCCCCCGCCAGGAATAGGGTTAATGTGATTGATTTAGTTATAAAGCAATGTGCAATGCATTGAAAAGCGCCAGCATTGATTATCCTTTCATTTTGTTTTGTATTTCCGAAAAAAAGCTCATGCAAATGCATCGATTCTCCACAGCATAGTCCTGGCGGTTCATTAGATAGACCTTTCCTCCCGAGTCTCCGTTTATCCTTTTCCTCCAAGACGTGCATCCCATCAGGCCTCTGCGTCTGCCCTCCTCCCCTCCCCTCTGCGCGCGAGTACCGTCGACGGCCGGTGGGTCGGCGCCCCGGGCTCTCATTCCCGGCACATATTTCATTAGTCGGCCCGGCCTGAGTGCCGTGATTGGTAATCAGCACCGAGCGAACCGGGTCGCTCGGACGGGCGATACCGACACACTGCCCGTCCGCTCCGAGACAGACAGACAGACAGACAGACAGAGAGGCAGAGAGGCAGACATACAGACAGACAGACAGGCAGACAGACACGGACCGAACCGAGTCGCTCGGACGACCGACACCGGTACTTACACTGCTCCGCCCGCACCCAGACAGACAGACATAGAGCAGAGAGACAGACAGACACACAGACAGCCAGACAGTCGGGGTTAGAAACAGTACTGATCTCTGCCCGGTCACTGGGGAGCTGGAGAGCCAATAACACTGGCCGGCTGATGACTTCGGCACGTGATTCCCATTTGGAAGGAATGCCTGCGATGTTGCCAACGAAGTTTCAGAAATGCTGGTAGACGGTTATGGTCGGTAAGCAGACGAATGCGTGATCTACTTGTGATCTATACAATGCGAATATAAAACATTTGGAACATTTATTTGTTGGACTATTTTGTACAGTACCATACTTTTATTCTTTTTCAAGCTTAATAACGCTTTTTTAATGTGATATAACGTATAACCGTTTAGAAAATAATTATATTTGGCCAACAGATATCAAAGTCTGCCTCAGCTAACGATTCTTCAGTTTAGCAATTGAAACCTGAACCTGCGCGGCGTTGTGTCTCTCATGAGGCTGTTTGGTATTCTGATGGGCCGGAAAACAGCATGGTGCTGCGCGGTGTCGGAAACGAGAAATGAATCACACTGATCGACACATGGGGGAGATTGCACAACGGAAAGTGGCAGCATCATGGCCTTCCCAGAACGGCGTACAGTCACCAGCACTTGCTACCCATCACCCCCGGACGGCGGGGGAGCAAGCTACCACCGCCCTTGCGAGACTAGCGCCGCCATGCGCCAAGAAGTGGAAACACCACGTGACTGAGGCCACGTGAGGGCAGGGTCACGTGATGGAGGGGCGGAGCATAGTAGCTTTTGCGCCCGACACTAACTGAAATGCGGCGCTGTGATTGGGCGCTTTAGCATGAATGAAGCCCCGGCGCCAGAATCAGCCGTTCGCCTTATATGGAAGGTAAGCATGTGCGTTTCACTGTTCTGTGTTGGTTTGAGAGCCACAGCACCATACGAATTGTGAGCCCCTTTGAACGGGTCACCGCCCGAGGCACTGAGGCGACGGCTGTGCCGGGCAAAGCCTAGCCTGGTGGGAGAGGTGGGCCAGGGAAAGTGCGATCGAGCAGCCACACTGAGACGTGGATTGGTATTATCTAACCGCGACAAACGATGTCAGCAGCCTCTTCTCGTTGACACGAAAAGTTTGACAGACAACGTGGGCAGTGCCCAATCAAAAGCTACTAAGCGATTCAGTTAAGAAGGTGGCAAGATAACCAGACCCAATAAAAAGTTTTTAATTCGATTTTGATTGACAAATGACATACAAGCCCGCTGTGATGGACCAAAAAAGGAGATAAACAGTTCATACAACTTCTAAAAAGCTCAACGGTAAAAATTTTAAAGTCAAATGTTAGAATTCAGCCTGCATGTTTCAACTCGGGTCCGGCGCTGGCAGGAAGCTTATATTGCCAAGCTTGCAATTCCACTACGTTGTAATATAACCAAGAGTTATGTGAGAGCAACAACTGAAAGCCTCGAGCCCTGTTGGGGGAGGGGGCGCGAAACAGCCCCCTCTCCTTTTCAGTCGATATCTCCTAAAGTATAGCGTAGGTCGCCACCAAACTTTCAAGACCCCTCCGGGCATCATTTTACACCTAGTGACCAAATTTTTCCAGAGCTCTTATGAAAGGTTAGTCACAAATGACGTCAGAGTGACGTCATGTTCTGTCATTTTCGACCCAACAAAAGGTTTAGCGGGAGGAGCTGTCACGCTTACAGTTTTGAAGATAACAAAAAATAGGTAAGTCAAGATAAATAAGATGTATAATAAACAGCGCTACAAAACTGCCAACTCTGATTTATAAACAAAAAATTTCGACCATCAAAACTATAGAAGTATAAACTATAACACCCCGAAAATACCAACAACATTCAAAATTAAAGCTGGA